TCCTGAGGCCCTCCTCTCTCCTCGTCCTCCTGTTCCTTCTGGGCTTTTTTCCTCCTTCTTTATTTTGTAAATATAGGCCTTTCTTGGCTACTTCCAGTTCCCTTGTCTTTTGGAAATGTAACTGCCCCTGGCTTCCTTGTGTTATGGAGATGTACCTTCTCCCAGGCTGTAGCCCTGTGTTTTTCCGTGGACCCCAATTCTAAGAATTCCCTAAGCCTGCCTATATCCCCCTAAAGCTCCTGTTTCAGGGTCACTGAAGGAGGAACGCACGAGGCCAAAAGGGGTAAAGAATTGTGACGTTATTAGGTCCCCGGGAAGCCCGAGGGGCTGAGCCCCCACATGGCGTCAGCACCCAGGGATGGCAGTCAGAGTTTTTAAAGGACCGTAGGTGAGCTTTTTCGGAGGGGAATTCTCCGGGCAAGTCCGGAGGGGAAAGTTACTGGTTTTAGCAAATGGCATGTGGTCTAAGCGAAAGGGAATGTCACAAAAATAATCTAAAGGTCGGTTTCCCAGGGGAGGGGCTAGCGATTCGATTTTTTTTTATTTTTATCAGACCTAACAGTAACATTGGTTTTAAGTGCCTGGTTGATAAAGGTTTGCAGGACTGGGTGTCGGTAACCGTCTGTAGAGCTGTCTTCTTGGTTTCCTTGTTCCAGCTGGAGTTCCTTGTAAACGTGATTTTCGAGGCGGAAGCTTTAAAAGGTGGGCGCTGCAGATGTGACCCTGTTCCGACGAAGCCAAGTGGGGGCGCTGGTCTCCCTCAGAGGCACTGACAGCTGCTGCCTAAGAAGTCAGAACATCACGTCCCACCAACCCCACGTCCCTGTCTCCAGCCTTCCTTTCATGATTATTTCATAGAAAACGGGAAAACGGGGAAAACAAGCAAAACCAAAGCTCCTGGACTGCATTCAAGAGAGCTGCAGGCGCCAACTCCTTGCTCTGAAAATTACGAAGAGGAAGAATTAAGTTCCTAAAAACTCTATTTTTTTAAAAATATATTTTATTGATTTTTTTACAGAGAGGAAGGGAGCGGGATAGAGAGTGAGAAACATCGATGAGAGAGAAGCATCAACCAGCTGCCTCCTGCACATCCCCCACTGGGGATGTGCCCGCAACCAAGGTACATGCCCTTGACCGGAATCGAACCTGGGACCCCTCAGTCCCCAGGCCGACACTCTATCCAGTGAGCCAAACCAGCTAGGCCTAAAAACTCTATTTTAGGGTGACAATGGATCTAACAGATGAGGGGGAGAGTTTCTACACAGAATAATTGCAGACAATGAGTGCAGAAGAGCATTTTAAAATTACATTTTGCAACTTCTAACGAATTGATGCAGACTATTGTGAGATGGCTGTTTAGCTGAATCTTGTCATAAAGGGATTAGGCTGTCATCCTTGAACCCACGGAGCAGTCCTAGCCACGAGAGGCGAGGCAACCAGACCCTGTGTGTGGCAGTGGGATGCGTAGCATGCCGTCGTGAGATGTAACTGCAAAAGGAAAGGCGGGCAGGAACTCCAGACGCAGGCACACAGTGCTCCCTAACTCCAGTCCACAGCAAACACGGGGGACAGGGACACAGGCCCAGTGACACCCTGGGAAGAATCAGCCGCCAACAGACTGTGGAAAAGTTTAAAGAATGACCCCACTTCAACACCTCAGTGACAAGGGATGAAAAGGGAGCAGGGACTGTCCTACAGTAAATGAAACTTTAAAAAGACTTGAGAGACATCACGATAGGCCTTGTGTGGATGCTGATTCAAACAGGCCAACTAGGAAAGACGGCTGAGTCAGGAAAATTGGATCTATATTGTGAATTACACTCAGTAAGGAATTATTGGTAATTTATTAACAATGCATTGTGGCTACCTTTTTAAGATGTGCTTTTATTTGTGGGTGGAATTATATAAGCAGGGACTAGTTGTAGGTACAAGACCAAGTAGATGGCCAAGCACCCACAGCTACTAGAGCTGAGTACAAGCACCTGAGTGTGTTACAGTCTCTACTGTTCTGTACGTTTGGAAGTTTTTACAATAAAAAATAAAATGCAGTAAAGGATGGCAATCAGGTGGAGAAGACACGGTAAACGTAGTCTGAGCAGCGATCAGCTCTGGTAAAAACCGTGAGCCGTCACAGGGCTCCTCCGTCCCGTGCCTACAGAATTCAGCGTTTCCTCTCCGACACAGACAGGGCTTCTTTTTTCTGTTAAGTCTGGTTTTGGGACTCAGCCCTTTGTTGAGACAATGATGGTTGATTATCACCCAACAGCGAACATTTTTCAGACTATAATCTCCAATCTGATGAGCATAATTAAGCTAAAAAGAGACAAGCTTCATCCCCAAATCCTCCAATTCCAACAGAGAAAGCCCCTCCCAGCAACAGCGGTGATGATAGCAGCTGCTTTCTTTACGTTCTGAGTCCCCCCCCCCCCCGCCCCCCATTCTCTTATCACCGAACGTAACCCTCTGGGGCAGGAAGACAAGGCTGGCTTCACTCAGCGGGGGCAGGTCCGGCGACACGGGAAGCACGCGGCGCCCGGCGCTGGCAGGTGGATGCGGCCAGAACGGCCCTCATCACCTGGAAGCGCTTCCTGGATTTGTTTGTTCTGCAAACATGTATGGGTCCCCCAAGCTCAGCTACATAACAGGATCCGCCAGGAGGACGGGAATGCGTTTCCAGACCAGAGAAACACAGAGGACCCGCGCGATGGACAGGAAACAGCTCCCACATCCCTCCCGCAGCCCTGCCTCCTGCTGCTTCCTCACTGCCCTCTGCGGTCCCTCCACTGTGGCTCCGTCTACCTGCGTCTGCTATCACATCATGAAAACATTCAGACACACTGACACGTACGGTGAAATGGGGCTCCCACGCGCCTTTGCCCACCTTCACCAAGTACCAACATTGTCCGACACATTCCTCCCAACCTGCTTTGTCCCGCGTCTGTCTCTGGAGCCCTTGGAAGTAAATCCCAGACATCCCCTCAGCCCCCGTCTCACACCCGCTTCCGGGGCGCTGGTCACCCTGTGCGGAGTGTTTAGGAACCAGTCCCGTCATGGTTTCAGCAACCAGCGCCGAAACCGGCCCCCGGTAGGCGCTCCAGACACTCCCGTGGCTGCGGGACAACTGCATGGGCGACCCCGCATGAGCGACCCCACCAGGCCCTTCCTGAGTTCCTGACCCTCTGAAACAGCGGCTCTCAACCTTCCTGATGCCGTGACCCTTTAAAACAGTTCCTCATGTTGTGGTGACCCCCAGCCATAAAATTATTTTCGTTGCTACTTCATAACTGTAATGTTGCTTCTGTTATGAATCGTAAATATCTGATATGCAGGATGTATTTAGGCAACCCCTGTGAAAGGGTCGTTCGACCCCCAAAGGGGTTGCGAACCACAGGTTGAGAACCGCTGCTCTGAAACCACCCGAGAATGCTTGTTGTTCTAGGCCAGTGGTCGGCAAACTGCGGCTCACAAGCCACATGCGGCTCTTTGGCCCCTTGAGTGTGGCTCTTCCACAAAATACCACATGCGGGCACGCACGTACAGTGCGATTGAAACTTCGTGGCCCATGCGCAGAAGTTGGTATTTTGTGGAAGAGCCGGTATTTTGTTGAAGAGCCACACTCAAGGGGCCAAAGAGCCTCATGTGCCTCGCGAGCCGCGGTTTGCCGAGCCGCAGTTTGCCAACCACAGTTCTGGGCCATCTGTCCTGCAGCAATAGATACCCAGAACATCAAGCAAGTCACCTAGTCTCTCTGTGCCTCAGTTTCCACATCTGTAAAAGGGGGACAGTAACAGTACCGACGCCACGCTGGGCTTTTACTAGTATTAAACGAGGTAAGCACACAACCACTGGCAGGTTGCAGCACTCAGTAAGTGCTGGTGACCACCGTCTGGGAACACAGTCAGAAATCCTGACCAACAGAATACGGACGGTCGTCACCAGTCCTCTGCCAGGCGTGCTGATCTAGGGTGAGGGTGCATTCCGTGGATGAGCATCCACCCCCAGGTTGCTGTGGGTTTGCATGCTTTCAATGGCTGGGGAGAAGACAGAATTTACCATATTTTGCGTGGCGCGCACACCCTGAAACCGGGTGTGCATGGCAGTTCTGACTTGGGTTCCATCATCCTCTCCCCCCCACTCCGTGAAACACTTTGGGAAGCAGAAACAGCTGGGCCCTGAGACCACCTCTCTGTTCTCAGGTCAAGTCCACTGAGCCGAAGGGAAGGTTTCTCCCAGATTTGATCTTTGAAGAAAACCTGAATAGGACTCAGCTATGACTTCCTTTGCCTCCCGTGGAAACATGGCATTCTGTACTTCAGGGGACTGTAGGCAGCTGTTTGCCTAGGTGAGAGGATGGTGGTGGAGCTCACCAGAGGCAGGTGTGAGGATCGCTGGTTAGGAATGTTTCAGAACAAACCCACAGCCAGACCACACACCTCTGTGTTTGGTGTCCTGCATTCATTCGTTCAGCCATCTCTCATCACTGGAGTCGCACTCACCTGCTTCTCAAAGTCAGTCGTTACTGCTTATTCACTTCACCATTAGACAGCACACTCCATCTCGAAGGCTTTTTAAACGAGCAGTTGGACACTTTAGGGTCTTTTCTGGGCTTTTGGTCAAGAAGGGAGATTCCAAAAGGCGTTTGCTGGGACTGCCTGTGTGAACCCTCCCCTCAGGAGTACGAGCTTACCTTTTCCATTTGCTGGGTTTTGTCCTTAAAAGTACTGCCTCTCATGCAATGCCAATGTGGAAACCACAACTCGGCATTCTTAACAGTATCATCGGGGAGAATATCAACTGGAAGACTTTTAATATTGTGGGTGGAGCTGTAACATTGGCCATGAAAGAAAGGACTCAATTAAAGCCAAAGTCAAGACTCTTTCCTTCGAGTGACGCGAGACACTGAAAGCAGCCGGTCCCCTGCTCTGTACCGCCTGGGCCAGGGTCCCAGGGCACAGCCGTGTCGCGGACTGAGCTCAAAGTGAATGAGAGAGATCTGCAGGCACGTTGAAAGAGAACACATTTATTTACACCAGTTTCCGTTTTACAACTCCCACATGTTTAAATAATCAACATTTCCAGGAAATCGGGTAGTTTTAAATTAAAATATTTAAACAAAGAGATTTTCACAATGTGATTTTTATTTACATGAATTTTCGAGAACCTAAATGGTTGTTTTTAAACTGCACAACGTAACAAAAAGCTTTTATTTAGACCTTGAATCTTTTTAAAAACTTTCCTGTTTAGGGAATTACGCTGACGACCAGGTCCTTGCAGTTTGGGCCCTTACAGATAAGGGTCTTAATGACACACACAAACCCGCCCCACAGACAAGCACGCTTGGTGGGAGCTGACCCTCTGACATGATTTGGTGGTAAGCGAAGCAACGTGTGAGACAGCTCAGACTGCTCCAATGAAAGCTGTCGGCAAGTCTTCTGGATCGGTCCTGGGTGGCTGCTCAGCTGTGTCCGCGCCGTGAGCACACACTGAGTTGTGAGGATGACCACCTCGGGGTGAGCCCCGTGGGCTGCTGGGGATGGAGAGCTTCCCCTGGACCCAGTGCATGCCCCTCCTGTCCACTCCGGTAGGGCTGGGTTTTCCGGAAGCTGCACATGCACTTCACTACGTTGGAAAGAATTTACTATTCACAAATGACTTTCACCAATAATGGTCTGACAGCTGTCACGTCGCACTGACAGATTTCAAAGATTTATTAGTGAAACTACGCAGAGGATAGGCTTTGCTAATCTCTTATGCACGAGTTCCTCTGAATAGCTGGTATAACATCCATTAAAAAATAAAGATTAACGTTCACCACGATCAACGCTACAGCTCGGAATGAAAGCCTCAGGGGGCTCTGTCCAGCGTCTGCGAGCACGGCCAGGCCCGGCAGGAACGTCACGCAGCGGCGATGGAGGCGTCGTCCCCGAGTCGGCCCTGTGGCTTCGAAGTGAGAAAACAAGATGGTTTACAGAGTAATAGTGACCCGTAAGCTCTCTTAATTGAAAGGATTTTTAAATTCTTGGAACTGTTCACAAAAACAGTATAAACATGTGCAAATACCAAAATAAATGTATTTGCCTTTCATCTCGGCTTCTTTCTTCACTTGAATTGGGGCCGGCAACTGTGTGCTCGGTCCCGTGTTCCTTCTGACCCCTGCAGACACCCCCAGCTGATCAGGCACCTCCACCTGCCGACCCCACCTCAGCCACCTGGTGTTCTAGCGCCACTGCCAATCTATCACCACTGTTGGTGGGGCAGAGGGCATATGGGAAATCTCTACCTTCCTCTCAATTTCGCTGTGAATCTAAAACTATTTAGACACTAGAGATCTAAAATCATGAATATGGCTTTTCTGTTTCGTTTCATTTTAAACAATTTAAAGTATGGAATAGGATAAAAGCTTGGAAGGGTTAATAAAGCAATTTTTCTGCAGATGCAAAAAAGTGTGTAAACCTAGAAAAAGAAAAGCTAGAGAAATTATGAAGGACACATGGGCAGAAACTAACTTGTAATGTACCAAGTCCCGGGTAACAGAAACAAGGCCCAGTTCCCCCAAACGTGACAGACAGGAAAAGGGAACTGTGCAATGGAACCTGCCATTCCCAAACGGGCACCATGGAAAAGAAGAGAGGATCACACATGCTGAGAACATCTGCCTAGTGGGGAGCACAGCCTATCGGGGGGCAGCCTCGGCTCAGGCACTGCGAGTGGCGGACTGGGAGGCGAAGCGCGAGCTACACGATCCACCTGTGTGGCCACCTCCCTGTCACACACTATGACCACCCACAGTCTTCTACTGCAGGAACCTGGAGTCAGAACAGTGAACCACAGTACAGTGCCCAATAGATGGCCATTTTCAGAAAAGACTCAACCTACATAACTTTATTAACCAATGTCACCCAATAAATTCAATAAAAAAAAGACCCCAATTCGGTATTACACCGTTAAATCGAGAGAATCAGGAGAATTCAGTGATCATATTTAGAAAGTTAGTCCATTTTGATTAAAAATTAGTTACAAGTTAACTATAATTTACAAACATACTTTATGCAAGCCAAAGAAAAAACACACTTAAGGATACTATAAAGATAAATCATTTACCTAAGGGAATAAACATTTTTTTAATCAGATTCTATAAATATAGTAACTTTATAGAAATGGATAGCAATACTGCCAAATTCAGAGGGTAAAAATCACAACTATCACTGTTAGTCTCAAATTATTGTTTAGCGATGTTTACATGGAAAACAAATCTTTTGTTTGTTTTCAAGACAGTATATTTAAAAGGCAGATGTCCAAGCCTTACCTTTACAAAAATACTGGTCGGTATGAAACGCCTGAGCAGCTGGTTTGTGAAGTTGGGAAATCTAAGCAAGTTGATGTTGAGAGATGGCAGCTGTTGGTATCCGGCCATGAGAGGGTAGAAGTTGTATAACATTTCCTGTTCGGTGCCAGGTAAGATCCGTAACCGAATCTAAATCACAAAAGTCATAGATAATCAGATACACAGATCTGCAATATCTTTGTCGTCACCCCTAGAATATTTACAAATGTTTGGACACCCAAGTCTCTCTGGTGAATATTTTCTCTCTCCCATTCCATCCTCCATAGATTCCAAAAGGTAAGGCTGAATTAGTACCACACGGATGATACGCGTGTAAGACATACGCATGAGCCTGGCAGCTGTGGCTCAGGAGTGGAGCATCGACCAACGCACCGAGGTCCCCAGCTGGATTCCGGGTCAGGGCACATGCCGGGGTTGTGGGCTCAATCCCCAGTAGGGGGCGTGCAGGAGGCAGCTGATCAATGATTCTCTCACATCTCTCATTGGTGTTTCTATCTTGCTCTCCCTCTCCCTGTGTCTGTCTGAAATCAATAAAAACATATTAAAAACTATGCACATGATTTCTGTCTACCAAGACCTAAAAGGCAACTATACCAGCTTAAAAATGAGCACACTCGACTGAGCGATATATTCTGTGTCGTAGGCCAGGTAGAGTGAGTCACAAAATAGTAAGGATAATTTACAGCAAAGTACCTTTGTAAACATGATGTCAACATAAGACACACTAGTTGTTTCTTGTGGGTTTTTTTTAGGAATTTTGTTAAGGTGAGTAACTTCAGGGGGAAAAAGATGTTTACAAATTTTTAACAATACTTTAGAAAAGAACACAAACTGGTAAGATTTTGGTATTTTACATGATCCAATTATTTTTAAGTTAATATGTGAAAAAGATGAAGACACGCAAGAAAAGCTTACTCATTTACAAATGAGTGCATATAGGTCCATGCCACAGATAATATATGTACATGTGCACCAACATGCCAGAGCTAAGATTATACGTACTGTGTAAAAGTTTAAATTAGTGTATGAACTAGAGTATGCATCATATATAGTTCTATTTCGCATACGCAGGGCACAGATGACTAGTCAGGGTATGTACTTCCAGGTGTTATGACACATTTGTTCCTCTAATTATGTTCTATTAATAAAAAGTACTTACTGATGACAAAACACTGCACTGGCAGTGCTGAAGAGAATTAGGCATCTTAATATAGGTAGTCATGCCTCCAGGCCTCAAAAGCAGACAGACAGATACACACACACACACACACACACACACACACTCACTCATTAGTCATTAAAGGGAAATCTAAGATTTTCAGGAATCCCATTATACAGCCCAAGGATTTGTGAACTCTTGTTTTCAAGGAGAAAGGACTATACGCGTGATCGCAATGTGAGAAGGTCTGCCCATTGATCCCGCCTCTGTAACAATGTACTCAATCCACAGAAGAGACTGAAAATGCACTATCAGAATCCCAGGTCCACAGTCAGTCTTATCAGCCCACGTGCACAGCTCTCCACGCCCTGCCACACCTGGTGTCTACAGGAGCATCCCAGTGAGATGCGAACTGTACCTGTTTAAGGCCCGAGAACATGAAGGCGTCGCTGGGCTCCACGGAGACCTCCAGGTCCTGAACCAGGCTGGTCTTGTTCTGCAGGTGATACCGGACGGGCAGCGATTCCCTGACTCGGCCAAACGATGGCAGGTCTGCAGGGAGGACACGATCCTCTTGGTTAGAAAACAGCTCACCCTCTGTGGGGTCTTCTTGCAAATGACTCTCCTTCTACAAGACACGGGCTTATTTAAACTATCAGTATCCCTGCGCTCTTGCTAAATAAAATTTCCTGATTGAAAAAGGCCACAGAACTATGAAAAAACAGGGGAAGACGATTCAACATCTCCTTTGAAAGTGACTGAATTAGAAAGGGTGTTGGCTGTCAGGAGCTGAATTTTATTTTAGGAATAATTTAAAAATCTACCAAAGGTTTCCCCAAGTATCAACCGTGGTTCAAAAAGGGATGGCAGACATCCCATGCCACTGATGGGAGCACATACCATGGACTATGACGTATTCCTGCCCCGAACTTGAACCTGAATCTGACCAGGCCTACAGATCGAACTACCAATTTATGGGGGACAGAAACACTTAGCAATGATGCAGTGCAATCAGCAAAGTCCAGCCTGCAGCAAGCTCCGCAGGACAAATGACTCGGCCCCTCGGTAAACAAACAGCAAGGCCGAGGGGAGGTGACGTGTGGAAGGCGATGGCCCTGGAGGGGGAGAGGGAGTCGGCCTGCCTCCCAGTTGCAAGACTATGCACGGCAGAGACCGCAGGCACATAAGGAACATTCAGTCGACCAGGGAAATTTCAACACTAGAATTCGATAATATTAAGACAATTTTGCCAGTTTTTAAAGTCATGACAATGGTATTCTGATTAGGTTTAGAAAAATAACTAATATTACAGATACACACTGAAATATCTACAGATGAAATGATATCTGGATTTGCTTCAAAATGATGGGGTAGGAGGAGTGTGTAGAGGCACGTGAAACGAGACTGCTCACAGCCCACTTTGGTAAATGTCAGGTATTTTTCATAATCAAGATTTTAAAAGTCGCCCTAACCGGTTTGGCTCAGTGGATAGAGCGTCAGCCTGCGGACTGAAAGGTCCCGGGTTCGATTCCGGCCAGGGGCATGTACCTTGGTTGCGGGCACCTCCCCAGTGGGAGGTGTGCAGGAGGCAGCTGATCGATGTTCCTCTCTCATCGATGTTTCTAACTCTCTATCCCTCCCCGTTCCTCTCTGTGAAAAATCAATAAAAATATATTTAAAAAAAAAAAAAAAAGATGTTAAAAGTCTTAGCAGCCGAACACCCGTCTCCTGGGGTCCTCTGCCCGGGGGCCTGCATGCGTTACCTGCGCTCACGTGCAGGGGGATGCTCTCCACGATCACGTGCGGCAGGGTGATGGCGGTGCTGATGGCAGGGAGGCTGTCCGCGGCCGAGGTCCTGCGGAGAAGGGCCCCTCAGTCACATGTCACGTGCAAAGTCAATCAATCAAAACAGGGACCGTGGACGGTCACCAACTGGCTAAGGTTTACTCCTGACGTGCAGAAATCCAACTGCCCTTATATACCGATGTTAAACCCAGCAACCTCGCCGGAACGCTTATAACTCTAACAACCTGTTGATTCCCTTGGGTATGCTACGTAGGCAACCCTGTTCACTGCAAATAAGGGCAGTTTCTCCTAATGTGCTAACGGTCCAACCATCAAAATCAGTTCGGTAAGACTCCCTCAGAATATAGGTCACGGATTGTGACAAGACACCGACGGAAGTGCAATGATCCTTCATCTTCGTGGACGTGACCATGGGCAGTGACAGCCTGTGGCTGCCAGCCTCCTTCCCGGACTGACAGAAGCTCCCAGCTACTAAAGGACGACGAGGAACAACTAAGCCATTAGAACAGCAGACGGTGAAGAGAAACAGCGCTGACATATCTTACCTCTTCCAGCAGATCACGTAATGCCCCGTGGCCACGCCACCTTCCACGTTCCCCACCGCCGGGCACCGCAGACAGAAGCACTCGCTCGCGCTCTCTCCGGTCTGCAAGACAACTACAAGCACGAGTCCTTCAGTCCCTGTGCAGGACTCCCGCGGAAGCAGAGGGTCCCACCGGAAAACAGCGAGAAGAACCTGGGTACGTGTTACTTAGAGACCCAGACACCGCGGCTCACAGGCGTCCTCACGTCCCTGTGCCGTGTCTTTTCTAATCCAGCAATAAAAGCAGGCGAGCAGCTGCCTGTCTGTGACACGTTCCCCTGGGGACTAGTGAAGGGGAGGAGCCTGGAGTCGGAATAACACCCTCTGGTGATTACTTTTATTTCTCTAAATTATTTCATGTCTCCAAAGGAAACACTTCCCAATAGGGAAAAAAACACACAAAAGTACAAAAACGGGTAATTTTAGTTATTCCTTAAAGTGGTCCAAATGGCATTCCAGGAGACTCCGGACTGTCTCTGAATAAGCACATACTGTTGAGATCACAGAAACGGAATACATCAGACAGTGACTCACTATTGCCCAATGTCGCTACTTACCTCTCGTGCAAGGATGCGCTTCTCTCACCAACTTATAGCAAATCTCCTGATAACTAGATAAACGTTCGTCTAAACCAAGCCCTGCCCACCCTCCGGCACGTCCTGGCCTGCAGTGTCACTCCTGTAAATGCCAGCTGGCAACAGTGCCCATCTAATGCCAACTTCAGCAAATCTAGGAGCAATACCCGAGAATGACAGCCAAGTCCCTGAACATTAGTAACTGTTTTTATGGGTTTCCCAGGAAGAAGGCTGTGAGGAATTGATGGTTGTGATTGTGGTAGATACCAGAAATGAAAAGGAAAAAAGCTGGGTCAATTTTTACTTGAATTAACTACTTTTAATTAATTTTTAAGTACTAGGATATGATAATGTAGCCCAGTTAGTAGAACTCACATCAATTCAACTCTCTTAGAACACCTGATGTGTTCATATTAATTCCTCCAAAGTCCTCCCTAATTCTAAGAAGTTATAACCAAAATGATCACAGACCTTCTGAACAATTAACATTAAGGTCAAATGTATGGCCTAGAACAGTTGTGATTTGTAATGTGTCAAACGCAAACTTTACAGTGCACCAGTGCTGGTGTTCTCGGAGGCGGCAGACTGAATAATGTCACCACCCCCCAAAGATATCGCACTTAATTCCCAGAACCTTTGAATGTCACCCCCATGGCGACAAAGACCTCACCGATGGGATGAAGGGTCTTGAAGCTGGGAGGTTGTCCTGGATGATCCAGGAGGGCCCAATGTAACCACAAGGGCTGGAAGAGAGGGAGGCACCGGGGAGTCTGAGAAGGAGATGTGACAATGGGAGCAGAGGTCACAGAAAGGTTTCTGAAGATGAGACACAGCTGGCTTTGAAGATGGAGGAGGAGCCACGAGGCGAGGAATCCACGTGGCCCCAGAAACAGAAAAAGGCAAAGGGAAGGATCTCCCTGGAGCCTACAGACACGCAGTCCTTGGTTTTGGGACTTTTGACCTTGAAAAATAGACATTATTCATTGATGGAACAAACGCTGATGAACTGTGAGGATGCAGCGAGATGGGGGCTGAGAAGCGGGTGCAGGAGGTGTGCAGAAGGGAGAACGGCCGCTCTAAGTGAGACAACGTAGAACCAAACCACAGGCTACAGACAGAAACAAGTTACATCCCTATGGCACCTCATCAATGTTATGACAAAACAACACTGAATGAAACCATGTCATTCGAGGACCTGCTGTAATATTTTCAAGTACCTTTTTAAAAAAGTAACTTCCTTATAGTAGCAAAAATCTGACTTTTTAAAAAAATGTATACTGAAATTGTAAATGATACCTTAATTCTAAATGTATTTGTGAGCATAAGTCTCAAGTTCCTTTCCTTACCAAAAGCTAACTCTTACACTGCTAAGTACACATATGCACACACACATGTGCATACACACAGGAGCACACACATGTGCATGTACACAGGCACACACCTAACTCTCTGCTAATTAAGTGCATGAGCCACAGTCTCACCTTTGTCCACCTGGGACTCCAGCTGGTCCACAGACGCCATGGTGGGCGCGAGCTGGAGCTCGCTGGAGACGATGGTGAGGGCCCAGGGGGAGGCGCTCAGCAGGTCGGTCATCAGCAGGAAGGGGATGTCGGCGTAGACCCTCTCCAGGTGCTCGAACTGTCACGAATGAAGACAGGTAAGTCCGCTTTATTTTTCCTGTTGATTCCTAGAACCTAAGTGATTTCCAATCCGCTTCATAGGGACGTACCTTTGTAGAAACAAATTTCACTGCTACGTCGAATGGAAAGACGGTTTCTATCGTTACGGTTTCATCCTGCAGGAAAATGTAAAAGGCACATGCAATGGTTTTCTAAATCGTAAGCATCCGTAGAGTTTTCAAAACAGAAGGCATACCAAACAGTCTAAATAAACAGTTCCAACTTATATAGGATTTCCCCTTAGATATCTGTAAAAATCCATGTAGAGAGACCGGACTCTTTTTCTAATAAATTATCTTGCGTATTATCATCACACTGCGAAGCGCTTGCTGGCGCATTATTTATCTCAGGACCTGGTGAGAGTAGGCAGGGCAGGCACTGTCACCGTCCCACAGCAGGAGCCAGAGGTGAGGAGGACATTGGCGGGCCTCAGGCCACAACGCCAGCGGTGCCAAGCATAGAATCTGGATGGTCTTCTGTCGCCTCGACTCAAGGCGAGTAAAACAGCAACAATGATGATAACGTAATGTGATGCCGTGTTTTAATCACCACACATGCATAATGCAATGCTCAGAACTCAAGGAAACACATGCCGTTATTACCACCACGTGAAGATGAAATGGTCACATGGCTGGTAAGTGACCAAGGCAGAAACGGAACCAAATCGGACCCTGGAGCCTGCCTTTAACCACATGCTCCACCTGCTCACAAGCGCTGCACTGAACTGTAACATTCTGATTTTACTGGCAAGGAAACTGAGGCCGGAAGAAGTTGCACGGCTTGCTGAGCTCCCAAGGTAGGAGGCAGTGCTGAGACAGTACCCTTACCGCCTAACTCGCCATCCAGGGCACATCTGACAGCATCCAGCGAGGCCACGAATTGTCAACAGTGCACCGCAAGCATGTTTAAAACATGCAATACCCGACTGTTTAGTCAGGGGCACTGACCGCTTTTCCTTCAGATTGAAGAATTAAAAAATGACAATAGCCAAACAACAATAGCCGTCTGGTGTGAATGAATCAAAATTTTATTTTTGTCAGATTGGCAAAAATACGCTTTTGGTGTCACAGAATCTTAGCAATTAGTTTCTGTGTGCCACGAGGTAGAAAAGGTTGAAAATCGCTGAGCTGGGTGAAATTTTTTTTTTTTCCTTTTGTTAATCCTCACCCAAGAACATTTTTCCATTGATTTTTAGAGAGAGTGGAAGGGAGGGGGAGAGAGACAGAGAGAGAAACATCGATGTGAGAGAGACACATCGATTGGTTGCCTCCCACACAAGCTCTGACCAGGGACAGGGATCGAGCCTGCAACCGAGGTACGTGCCTTTAACCGGAATTGAAGCCGGGACCCCCTAGCTCAGTTGGTAGGCTCAGTGGTTGAACGTCAACCTATGAACCAGGTCATGGTTGGATTCCCAGTCAGGGCACATGCCCGGGTTGCAGGCTCAGTCCCCAGTGGGGGTTGTGCAGGAGGCAGCCGATCAATGATTCTCTCTCATCACTGATGTTTCTATCTCTCTCTCCCTCCCCCTTCCTCTCTGAAACCAATTTTTTAAAAAGATTTTATTTTTTTAAAGAAAGAAACCGGGACCCTTTAGTCTGCAGGCCGATGCTCTATCCACTGAGCAAACCAGCCAGGGCTGGATGAAACTTTTAACAGTATATTCCATGCCTTCCTCCTCCCACTTGGGAAATACTCCTGATTTCCTTGGGAGGGTTTTGCTTCCCAGTAACTTATAAAGAGCCCACCGCCCAGACTCTGCAGTGACCGAACGACAAATCCCCAGGCAACTAGGCCAACTGCCCTGCTGGGCTGAGAACCCAATTTCTAGAAAACGCCGAGACAACAGGGCTGCCAGGAGTAAGACACTAAATACTATAGTTTTCCACTAATAGATGTAAGCATTACATAAGATAAGGTTAAATCTATATAAAAACATGCCCCCCCCCCCAGCTCTATAAACAGAAAGCAGACCACTAAGAACTCCATCAGAGTCGACAGCAGCTGCCTGAGCTGTGAACTCTGACAGCTTCCCTACTGTCACTCTCCTCGGTGTGCACTTACCACACCGACTTTCCTAAGAACCTATTTTAACAGAAAAATATCTCATAAGGGAAACCTCCCTTTCTCCATGAGCCAACTCACCGCTTTTATCTAATGTGTGACTTTGTAAATAGCAGACAGGTTTAAGCTCTCAAGATTTGTGTGCATGAGTGCTCAAACCTTTTGATTCTCTATGTGAAAAGCCATGCCTGCCAATTTTCTAATGTCTGAGCAATGAATGCCTTCTTGTACTGTTTATGATCAACGTAAGTGAGAAAAAAAAATCAACCGATGTTAATGAAAATCTGAAACAGACTATGAGCACCTGCTTTTCGACAAGTAAACGAAACAATATGACGCCTCCTGCAAGAGCCACGAAAAACAATAAATACCTTGTGACACTTGCAGACGATTTCTTTGTCTTCAATAGTTGTAGTGATCAGGTAAGAAACATACACGAGGAACATTCTGGAACCCACTGTGCCACAGCGGATGTATAATGTTTTTTCCAGCTGCAGCAAAATAAAAGTATTTTAATGTAATTACTATTACAGATTTCCATCTGATATATAGGGTGTCCCCCAAAATGTAGACACACACTTTGAATAATTATAAAGGCAGTGTTTATTTAAAATACATTTTGAAATTGAGCTATCAGCTGTTAAAGTGTGCATACATTTTTGGGGACACCCTGTATATTCGGGGATAATGTCCCCACCTTTTATCCTTTACTGTAGCAACTGGTTAAATGCTGGAACACTTTCCACAGGCTGTTCCTGCACAGGGTCAGAGTGGGATCATTACTACTCCATCTTTTTACCATCATGCCCAGCTCCTCAAGAAATCTTTGTGTTTGGTTTGGAATCAAAAGTTGACTGAAAAATTATTTCACTAAGTTACACACACAGTGTTATTTAATTATTTATCAGGCAACTAAATCTCTGTATTAAGGTCATTTGTTCTAAAATCCCTTGTGCAAAACCTGAAGACATTTACACATTTAAGTGTGTAAATTGGCATAAAACAGGCATAAGTGAAGTCATGTTTCTTGTCTCAGGAAATGCTATGAAGTGCTCTAAGACTCGCTCCATTTAAACTACAAGCTAGCAGCCTTTCTCCCCGGCACTGTCCCGATTACCTGCTCCCCGGGATGCAGGTCCTCCACGGGAATGTCGGTGAGCAAGGCCGGGCAAGACTCATCGCACAGCTCTGTCCCGTGAAGCGTCACCTGAGTTTTCTGAGTTAGATTGGCATCCTGTCCTAAAAGGGTTAACATTGTTTTAGAATCCGGAGAATTCAAAGCTTATCCTCACAGTCTACACTGCACAAAGTGCACTGCGTCATGACCACATTTTAAACAGACTTCCTAGAGCCCACACCACGGGGGTTTATGTCACATTAATACTGATCAAACTGAAAAGGCATGCGTACCGGGTTTCAAACCTGCAGTGAGCTTCACGTCTCGGATCCGGCTCTTCTCGTGGGACTGAACGGTCACAACCAAACAGTACATCTCGTTCGTCAGGGCAGGAGGGTCGTGCCGCAGGTGCACCGAGATGCTTGGAACTCTGGAGATGACCCTGTGGGGAAAACCGCAGCTGAGGAACTGGTCATTTAGAGACAAATGAGCCTCACAGGGACTTGACACGCAAGGCGCCCGCCTGGCAAGCCCGACTCACATGGTGCTGGCCTGGACCAGGACGCTGTCCCAGTGCACCTCGTCGTCGGGGAGCTTGGGCCGTCGTTTGAAAGAGCGCGAGGCCTGGAGGGCTTCCTGGGTGGAAGCGGCGTCTCCGCCTCCGCCCTGCCAGTTTAAAACCACGCACCTTCCCGCCTCGTGGCCCAGCACCAGGTCCACGGAGGTGATCTACGAGGAAGAGGTCTGTCAGCAGGGCCAGCTCATTCTTGTTCGTCGCCACCCCCTCCACAAATGCGATCGGAGACTGCGGTCTGTGGAGTCCATGCAGAAACCCAGGTGCGAGAGAAGTCAGACTCCCGCTGCCCTGGCCGGCGGCTCAGCTGGCTGGAGCGTTGTCCCGCACACCAGGAGGGGCACACACCTAGGTCGCAGGTTTGATCCCGTGTCCGGGGGCAACCAAACTGATGGATGTTTCTCTCTCACACAGATGTAGATGTTTCTCCTGCTCCTCCTCCCTCCCCCTTCCTCTCAGTAAAATCAATTAAAAAGAAACAACAGAGAAACCTGCTGTTAGAGTCTTCCCCTGGCCAATGATGAGCTGGGACACTGGCTAACACTAGGTTTAAAATTCTTTGCCTTTAAACAGAGAATAACTTGACTTTTTAGCTAAAACACTGACTGCTATGGTTTTAGCACCTGGCATAGTGCCTGATATAACAGGAGCTCAATTAGTGATTGCTGAGTGAAATAAATGAACGTTTTTGATAACCATTAATATATTCATAACCTAACTCCACACATTTTTCCTGAAGACATCTCTGGTATTAGCAATGAAATTCTTTACTAATTGAACAAATGCTCCTTTCAACTAAATCCACCAACAAATGTATTCAAAATAATATTATTATGATTTACGTCTAGTAGGTTTCCTTAGGTACCTTGTAAAAAATAAGTAATTAGGGATTTAGTCAAAATCATGAAGATTTCTTTTAAATGAATATACAAAATCTCTGGATATTGGGTAATAATAAATTCAAAAGCCTCACAGAAATTGTTATGGGAGTACTGGTAGTACAGTCTAAAGTTTCCATCTTGGAAAGGGTCCCAAGTTGACATTAGCCGACCGTTCTCATTCAAGCCATGGAAAGCATGCACTTAATCAGTGCTTACTCATACCAATAACTGTTCCAAGCAATTTACATGAGCTAACTCATTTAATGCCCATGAAACACTGAGAGGTAGGTCCTATTATTAGCCCCATTTTACAGATGAATAAACTAAGACACAAAGAGGTCAAGGAACTGCCCAGGGTCACAAGCTAATATGCTGGAGAGTTGAAATTTAAACCCACATAGTTTGGCTTCAGAGTTTATGCTCAATAAAACATTACTTTCATTGTATATGCCTGAAAGGCGTTTTAATACACACACACACACACACACACACATATATATATATATATATATATATATATATCTTCCTTTTTTATCTTTAAAATATGTAATCAGCAATGTTTAAACATCAAAATGACTGAATTGTCACATCATACAAAATACAATTGCTATATTATGTATGTTTTGTTTATAATTCCTTAAGGGATTATGCCACCATTAAAAAATAAGGTTGGTCTTATGCACTAACAGGAAATGACGTCTAACATACGCTATTAAGTAAAAAAGCCAACCACTGAATACTACACAGTGTATCTCAGTGAAAGGGAACCCGAAGCCATTATGAATGGTTTCCCTGGCAAGTCCAAGTGGCAGGCTTTCTTACTTACTTAATAAACATCTGTATCACTTGAATTTTCTCTGGCACACACATACACTTTATCATTTAAAATCTCTCTTAAATAAATTTCACAACTAACCTCAATTTTCTTTCCCACATCTTCAGTTTTTGCAACAAATTTAAACACAAACTTCCTCGTTTTTCCAGGAACTAAGCACATCTTCCCCTGAGTCAAGTTTTCTAAAACTTCGCTTGCTTTGGACGCTTCCTGGATCACACAGAACTGGTTGTATTCCTGAAAAAGAGGTCAGCAAGAGCCGCGGTTTATGACGTCAACATCATGCTTTGCTTACACTGAACACGCGTGAGCTGGCGCTTGTAAGGCTGCCTCCACTGAACGGTGCATCAGGAAGGGCTGCCAGTGAAAGGAAGGTTTTATGCAAAGCAGGCGCGTATCTGCACCGAGACTCGGGCTGCAGTGTCCGTGCTGGGCCTTCAGCTCCCCTTTTCCCTGTGCGCTCACTGCGCTGCAGTCTCCTGTCTTCCTACTCGGCACCTCTGTGCTATTTCCCACAGACGCTTCCAATTCTGTCCTGTTTCCCTAACCAGAAGCTCACATCCACACCTGCCTAGGGGTAGTCCCACACGACCCAGATTCAGCACCCAGCTGCGCGCCCACCTGCCTTCACACAGCGGCTCCTCTTCCAGATGCGCCAATGCAGACCCGTCCTGCATAAGCCCGTGGACGCACCACTCCCACCCCGTCCTCAGATAGCAAGAGCGCCCCAGGAGCTGCCTGCACCCCAGCAGGTGGAGTATCTTCTCAGAAAACTCCCACAGGTTATGCTGTTACTTACCCTTATGTTCATTTTTAGTCCACGCTTATGAAATCTAAGAACGAGCCACCACTTTTCCTGTGATTTCTATCTTGAATTTCAAATAACACATGTTCAGAATATAATCTAACTCTAAAACTAATTGCTTTACATTTTAATATTTTATTAGTTTTTCATTACAGAAATAGTCTATGTTTGTTATTTAATAAAGGAAATAGGATAGTAGGATAGGAGCAAAGTAAACTACAAGTCTCTACACTGACCCTAATTCCGGATTTAGAATATTTCCTGGCGAGCAAAAGAGTTACCTATCCTGTGGGGCTCATGTTCCAGAAAGGAAAACAAGTCCTTACTGAACAATCCCCCACAGCGAAGCCGCGCCTGTGACAAGCCCTGGGCAGGGCTGTGGAGCCTGGTGAGCTCAGGGGGTCACGTGGTCAGGAAGGTGTGTCCTGAGGGAGTGAGGCATTAAGGGGCTACAACACCAGGAACTGAGCAGATACAGAGAGCAGGGAAGCCAGGCCAAGCAGGTGAAGCAGCACATGCAAATGCCCCATCCCGATAGTGCACCATCTCCCATACAGCTGAAATCTGTAACCATGGAAACAGGACACACAGAAACAGAGCGGAATGGTGGTTACCAAGGGGTGGGGGAAGTGGGGAGATGCTGGTCAAAGAGCACTAACTTGGGACAGATGTAAGACTTTCAACAATAAGGATTTTTAAAAAAAGAGCACTAACTTCCACTTATTGACGGAAAGTTCTCACGCACAGTGTGGTGACAATAATGAACAACACTGTACGCATCACGGAAAGGTGAGAGAGCAGGTCCTCAGTGTGCTCACCGTACACATACACACACACACACACACACACACACACACACAGGGACTACGTGAGGTGATGACGTGTTAGCTAACCTTATTGTGGTCATCGTTTCGTAATACACGTGGGTACAAAAGCATCATGTTTTGGTACACTTTAAAGTTACACAGTTTATATCCTATCTCAATAAAGCTGTAAAAATTAATTAATCTGCACCTGCCTTCAGAAAAGACCTCCAGTTGGTTTCCATAACATTTCTTTCCCCTGTTTTGTTACTGGAAAATAATTTCTTAAAGCTTTTGCTTTAAAATTCTCAAACTTCTCAGGTTCACCCCGATATCAAGAATATTGTCACTCTCAGTAAGTGCTTGCTGGTTAAAGGCTCCATACACTTTCCAGGTGACCGAGGTAATTATCTACCAAGTGAGCTTATAACTGAAAGTTAGAACGTAACACAGCACTTGACTGGACACTATCACACCACACAAGTGTTCACACATGGGAAATACAGCGCAGTCCCCATTCTGCAGAGAAAAGCTGCTGAAAACGCCTCGACTATTCAAGAAGGAGAGAGTGTGAGCTCCGGGGAGGGACGTGGAGGAGCACAGGTTTACATATTTACTCTTCATTTATATCTATCCCACCTCAATTTCTTCAACATCAAGCACATAATCCAATCTAATAAAAGAGAAACATGGTAATTAGCCGTACGACCGCTACCCTTCCCATTGGCTAATCAGCGAGATATGTAAATTAACTGCCAACCAAGATGGCGGCTAATTTGCATACTGCAGGCAGGGAGGGCCAGCTCGAGCTGCCATCCCGCCCACGTGGTGCCTAAGCCCCAACGCCAGCCGGGACCCCAGTGTGCAGCCCTGAGTGGCGGGGGGCTTGGCTGCCTGAACAAGCAGCCTAAACCACGCCCCCAGCCTCCCTGTGTATGCCCTGGGCGCTGGGGGGGCTTGGAGGCGCGAACAAGCTGCCTAAACCACGCCCCCAGCCGGGACCCCTGTGTGTGGCCCTGGGCGGCGGGGGCCTTGGCTGTGTGAACAGCCACCTAAACCACGCCCCCAGCCGCCCTGTGTGCGCCCTGGGTGGCGGGGGTGCTTGGCTGCGTCAACAAGCCGCCTAAACCACGCCCCCAGCCGGGACCCCTGTGTGTGGCCCTGAGCAGCGGGGGGCTTGGCAGTGAGAACAAGTCGCCTAAACCACGTCCCCAGCCAGGACCCCTGTGTGAGGCCCTGGCGGTCAGGGCCTCCCCAGCTGCAGTTTTTGGACCCACGACCCCAGCCTGCCCTGGGGTTTACTAAACTTTACTGGAGCTGCTCCCCACACCCCAGCCCTTGCCCCAGAACCACACTGCCCACAGCAAGGCGCCTGGCAGCGTCCTGACAGGTGGGTGGCGGGAGAGCTGAGTAGAGCGGGGTTGCAGGGAGCCACGGAAGGATTGGGCTTCGGGAGCCAAGCTCCAGGGGGTCTGAGGAGAGAGCCTGAAGGTAGAAGAACCTTTGGCAAAGCGGCTGCCAGGAGCCTCGGCCATGGGGTCTGCAGGCATGCGGACAGGCCTCCACCTGATGGGCGGATCCTGGGCAAGCGCCATGGCTTCAGGGAAGTGGCTGGCCAGGAGGCAGGCGGCCCAAGGGCGCGCAGAAACGGCGCCAAGGTGGGGTGCACTGGAGGGGGCTCAGGCCTGGGCAGGGTGCTGGCGGGCGGGGATCTGTAGTGGCCCCAATAGGCGGGAAACAAGAGGCGATGTCTGCAGGTGTGGAAGGATGCCGGGCAGAGGGGCACAGACTCGCAGCCCTGAGGCGGGGGTAGAGGGGTGGCGCCACCTCAGTGGTACCCCACTGCAGCGGTTTGGTGAAGCTCCCGGTGCACACTTGAGAGGCCAGGACTCCTGCTCCCGCCTTGGCCCCAAAACTAAGCCTGCGCCCGCCCCGCCCCCAGTTTTGCCCACCCCATGGGGGTGCACACCTGCACAGTGAGTGCAAGCCTACCACCTGCTCCCCAGAAGGGGGGGCAGTAAAGAATGGGGTGGGGCAGGGGAGAGGAAAGAATGTGGAGCATCCGTGATGAAGAGGTGCTTGAGAATGAGGCTTGGAAGCCTCATGGGGAGGTTTGTTCTGTTTGCCCTGGCTGTCCCTTAGGAAAGGCGGAGAGCCGGCTGTGAGGGCTCCCTGCGCGAGGAGTCCAGTTCCATAGCCAACTGGAATTGGCCTCAGTTTCCTGCTCCGTAAAATGTGTTAAGCGTGTCCCAGTGCCTTCACTGAGCTTTAAGGGCCAATTGAGATACTATATAAAGAAAATGAGGGAAGAAGTGAGAAAGAAAAGGAAGGGCAAGCAACACAAAAGAAAGATTGAAAGGAACCTGTAAACCTATTGTCACTTAAATAGGGACTAGAGTCAACAGTGTTGTAATGACGGTATGAAGTCAGGTGGGTACTGGAAATATCAGGGAACACTTTGTAAAGTATATGGTTGTCTAACCACTATTCTGTAACTAATAAACCTGAAACTAATACAAAATAATATTGAATGTAAAGAAATGAAAATAGGAGTGAAATTTTTCTAAATTTCAAAGTTTAAATAAAGGCTGTAAAGGAAAGAAGGGGGAGAATAAAAATAATGTTTTTCATTTTACCACTTTATTGTCTTTTCAGTATATGAAAAAGACAGTTGTCTTTATATGGTGCTTTTATGCTTTTCTAAGTCATTATCTCATTTGATGTTCAGGGCAATTTAAAGACAAGATAATTATTCCCTCCACTATTCAAAGAAAGGAAGTCTTGGTGTCTGGCCCCAATGATTCAATCATCAATCCCTTATTGTAAAGCAGGGTTAGTGAAATTTTCTGTGAAGGGTCATATCTATACTAATAAAAGCCTTGGGGGTGATCTGGCCAGCAGGGGAGTAGTTAGGCGTCAATCAGGCCGGCAGGGGAGCTGTTAGGGGGCGATCAGGCTGGCAGGCTGAAGCAGTTAGGGGCAATCAGGCAGGCACGCAGGTGAGTGTTTAGGAGACAGTGGTCCAGGATTGTGAAAGGGATGTCCAACTGCCGGTTTAGGTCCAATCCCGGCAGTCGGACATCCTGGGATCAGGCCTAAACCAGCAGTCGACATCCCCCAAAGGGTCCAAGATTGGAAAGGGTGCAGGCTAGGCTGAGGGACACCCTCCTCCCGTGCACGAATTTCGTGCACCGGGCCACTAGTCCTATATAATAAAAGGCTAATATGCAAATTGTCCCCTCGACCGGGAGTTCGACCAGAGGGCAGGGCTGGCCAGCCAACCTCCCATGTCCTCTCCCCCCGGCCAGCCCCACTCCCGATCCAGGCACCCAGCCGGACCCCACCCATGCACGAATTCATGCACTGGGCCTCTAGTAGTTTAATAATGAAAAACTAATATCAATGCTATATGCAGAGCAAATGATTTTGAAAATTATATTCATTCTGAATATATCTTATTTGGAATTCAAGTTACATATTACAAAAATATATAGACAAAAGTTCTTAGATTTCATAAGCACGGAGTGAAAAACAAAAATAGTAGGAAAAATGTTAAATTTGAATTACTGATATAGAAGTTGAGAACTACACACATTGTTTAATTTCCTACAAAATCATTAAGACCTAAAGCTTGCTAAGCTCACTCTAACTTCACGGGAGCTGCAATAAGATTCACACGTGGTGAGGCCCGTGAGCCGGCACCTTTACCTGGTTATTAAAGCTGACGCAGAGCTTAGAGAACCTGATGGGATGCGGACAGTCAGCCTTCAGATAAATATCAAACTGCACAGGCACATCAACGTGGAAACTGGGGGCGTGGAACTTGGCTTTGCATTGCACTGGAAAGAAACAGAGGGCCGAGTCACACACCAGCACATCCGGGCCCTCACACACAGTCTCCGATCCTCGCTCTGCAGAAAGGACGCACCCACATGCATGCTCTCACCGGCTGCTACGTGGGAGGTGCTTCAATGCACACAAAGGGAACTCACTTTTTAAAAACAAACCAAATTTAAGTAAACTACAGTTCCAAAACCAGCATTAATCTTAAAAACACCGTTGCTCCTGACATGTAGCTAGCATAGCATTTTAAAGGAAAAAGAACCATTTTGTTGCTTTTAATTTATTCCAAAATACCTGCCCTGGACAGTAAAGCACATGTGTTTCAAATAAGACTTTTCAAATGTGCTTCAAGTAACATCTGAACTACAACTGAACAATGTAAACTTAAGACATAAACTATTTAAAATTTTGATCATCGATGGGGAAAATAAATAAAATTAGTTTACTTATAAAATGACTACGCTTTGACAATTCTTTGGTTTTTATAATTATTATTCTGCACCGACTCGTTTTGTAGAAATAAGGATACTTTCCCTGAAATAACACTGCAGGTGCTGGCTACCCACCGAATGGCACGAGGTGCTGCACCCCGACGGTGAACACGTTGCTGCCGGCCAGGGAGACCCGGTCCGCCCACAGCTTCTGAGCAGTTTTCACAGCGGCGCCGTCACAGTCAGGCTCAGGCTCAGGACTTTCGTTCTGCACAACACAGAGTTACACACTCGCTCAGCTAGTTACAGAACACACACATGCAGGATTCAGATCTCCGCACACACAGCCTCGGAACTCGCTTCACACGAAGAATTCCAACCTACCATTAAAACATTGATGAGGTTCTTCTCTATCCGAGATTTCTGGTCATCTTTCAGAGTTGAAGCTAATAAGAAGGAAGAGGAGAAAATACCGGAACTGTAAGACAGGCCAGTCCGCCACCGCCCCCATTGAAGGCACTAAAACGCCACAGAATGTCTCTGCTAAGCACGATTCCAGAAAACTGACAGACAGCTTTCTAGAGCTAACCCCAGCACTTTATATACTTGCCCTGAAGTCTATGTGAAAACTTACTTTCTGACAAGTCTTAGAGAGGCAAAAGAATTTTGTTTTTCTCAACTACAAGTCCCTCAGCTATTGTAAATTCCACAAAAGGTATGAATGCCTTCACTTTGCAGTGACCTGCACATGGCAAAAGTACTACCGAATATATGACATAATCATTCTTCCAATTTTAAGAAGCTTCAAGTTGCTGAATAATCTTAAAAATTCAGAATTTAACTGGAAGAACAGCAAGTTACCCCTTCCAAGGAGTTCTAGGGAATAAGTAATGTAATCTTTTAACTGGGCCATCAGGTAGGAACACTTGAGAGCTGTCGTCAGTATCGACGTGAGCAGAGTCCACCAGCCTTCGGTGCGGTAATCACACATCACGTAGTCCAGCAACCTGGAAGATGATGGAAAGACAGGCTGAACAACTTCACAGGATGGGGGGAGGGATGGGGGTGGGAAGAGTTCCGGGAGAAAATAAAGTGCCCAAACTTCAGAAAATCTTACTGAAATAGTTTAACAAGTATTCTCACATTTAGCTAAATCTGAGGCTCCCTAAGACTTTGAAAAGGATTGTACTAGCAGATAGTACTTGAAAAAATATCACAGAAATGGAGTGTAATAGAAGTAGAAATAAATAGGGAAATATTAAATCCTTCAGTACAAATTTCTAATTGTGCTGTAAAGTAATCGTAATACTTGTAAAAATACAGTGAACACGACTCACTTCAAAGCTTTGGTGTAATCCTTTGCGTAGTAATATTCCTCTCCCATCTGGACCACTACAAAGGAAGAAAGATTTGATGTACATAATTTAAAAGCATTCCAGCTTGATGAAACTGTGGCATGTTATGGATACATACTTAGATGACTTTTCATTCTCGGACACTTATACTTCTTAAACTGCGCAACAGCATTGCTCAGAAGAGTTATTATTATTTCCTGTTAGAAAAGATAAAGTGTGAGACATTCTAACAAAAACAACCCCACGTTTTACTTGAATACTGTACAAAATAGTTGGCACTGGGGGAAAACTTACCGAGTGAACAACATTTCTCTCCTTCAGCTGAATGGCAAGAATTCCCACCTTCTCTTTTTCAGGATCCGAAAGGTCAAAACCTGTATTAGGTAAGAACCAACCCATTTTAGATAGCACATTGAACATAACTCCTCCACATGAAGAGGGGGTGTGCACACTCCTCGAATCCTTTCCTTCAATATAATGTATTTACAATTCTCAAACATTCTAGAACTTTAAAGATTGCAAGAGGCAGCTTTATTAGCATGGCAACTTCTCTGTGACCTCTGTTAAAGAGAACATCGCGGAGCTCAGTATTCTTTGCCAGGTGGAATCAACCACCTGAGGAGTAACACCAGCATCATTTTCTACACAGAATATTCTTCCTGGAGACGAAAGTAAATGATTTCTCAACACTTGCCACAGAAATTGCTCCAATTGAATTAAGTATGCATAAAACACAAAAAAAGATGCAAAGAGATTATTTTTAAGGTGATACAAATGCTGTTTTAAAATATCAAACAAATCATTAAAGTTAAGACAACAGATGTCCAAATATTTTAATCCTATCCCATCTTTAATTTTAAATTATTCTCAGATGTGGTAATAGAAACAAAACACTCTAAAAACTAAAAAACTGAAAATCTTTTTTAAAGTATTTTAAAAACACACATTTTCACCTCAACATAATCTGCTCTGCCTAAAGCAGCCAAGAGGAAAATCGTGAGAACAATCTGCCTCCTGAGGCTGAGAGAAGGGAGGAGGGAGAAGTGCTTACTTAGTACTCCTTGCCGCCAGGACCGCTGTCCGTAGAAGTCAAGAGCGCCTGTCTGTGTTTCCAAGGGGTCGGGATTGGGATACGTCACCGAAGCCTGTGAATGAAAACACGACCCTAAACAGGAGTCCGGGTAACCCACCACAACCAACTCTCCCTCATCTGACAGAATAAAAAGTGTTCATCAACACAAACACCAACACATTCAAATACCAAGTGGGACTGCTGATCATATTCACCTGCCTTCTGAGAAGAAAACGGAATTTTAAGTGAAAATAAACTGATGCCACTATATGAATGTAAATATATACACACACGTACCCACCATGTGCTTATTTTAAAGGTGCTTATGGGGAAACCAGTGTTTAAATACAATCATCCAAGAGAAAGGTAAAATGAAATGTCAAGTTAAGAAACTATGCAATTAACAGTATGTCTCAGATTCTTGAGAGTCCTCCCTGGGGAAATCTCGGGAAGAGAAAAGTCCAGAGGCACCCTCTCCGGTGGGTCAGAATGACGCTCACGTCTGCGTGCCCTTCCAGCTCCTACAGCCGCGCGCACAGAAATGCAACACTGGACTTAGTGTGGCATGGGCTGAGCTTGGCTGTTATTTTAAAGTAATTTTCTCTTGTCTAAGTCACTAGCTTATTGACAATCGTAAGTCAGCTCTTCAAAGAAAAACTGCTTCACAGGCGAAATGGAGCCGATTATATTCAAAGGCTTGGAAAAAATTACCCACACCCATTAGTTTTATCTTCTTCCAAGAGAAGAGGAACCAACTTCCTAAACGGCAGATCGCACGGGTCGGTAACTTACTTCATGGCTGCAGAGGGTTTTTGCGAGCTGCTTCCGCTCCTGGGCGTAGTACGCTGCCTGCTGGTAATAGAAACCAGGATTCTGAGTTTGAATAGCTGTCAACCCTAACTTAATAGCTTCATCAAATAAATCTCCAAAGGCCTGGAATCTTAAAGAAAAAAAAAATCAAAAAATAAACAAAGAATGAAAAGAAAAAGAAAAAGCTTACTTTTATAATTATTCATCCTGGAACCCTAACCTCACCAGACTGGATTAAAATAGTGCTACTGATGAACTATAAGTAAGTGGGACTTCCTGCATAAATACTAATACACACTAATCAATTACAGGTAACAGATACTGTATCTAAGTCCACTCTTCTGAGCTGCAGCCCTTTACAATATCCTGCCAAACTAGATGCCAACATAATTGCCACCAACAAATACATCCGTGACTCTGGGAACTTCATTTTAGCAATTTTTAAACATGGGTCTCAAGTAGGAAGTTCCATGTCAGTAGAGATTTTGTTTTGTTCGCTGCTATATTCTCAGTACCTAGACACATGTTAGAAAGTCAATAAATATATACTGAACTAGAGGCCCAGTGCACAACATTTGTGCCCGGGGGGAGGAGGGGTGGGTACCCTCAGCCTGGCCTGCGCCCTCTCACAGTCGGGGATCCCTCAGGGGATGTCCGACAGCCCAGGGAGCGGGCCTAAGCCAACAGTCAGACATCCCCCGAGGGGTCCTTAGAGCTGCCACAGAGGCGGGAGAGGCTCCTGCCACCACCATGTTCCCCAGCCATGAGCCCGGCTTCTGGCTGAGCAGCGGTCCCTTGTGGGAGCGCACTGACCACCAGGGGGCAGCTCCTGCATTGAGCATCTTTGCGCATCATAGCGACTGGTCGTACTGCCGTTCGGTTGATTTGCATATTACCCTTTTATTATATAGGATTACTAGAAACATACTTATGCAAGACCATTAAAAACCTACTTACTGACAAAACTCTTTGCTCAATTTAAATGAAAGTCCATGCCAATTCTAGCCCTCCATATCACATGTATTTTTTTAAATTGTTGACAGTATTACAGATGTCTTCCATTTCCCCCTCCCAAGTATTAAAAAAAAAAAAAAGACATCCTAAAAGTACAATTGAAAACATACTGTTTAGACATCCATGCAGCATGCTCAAAGGACAACTCCGCACTTCCGATTTTTTTCTTACACAAGTCGATGTGTTTTCGGAACTGAGCAATTGCATCCAAAGGGGTGTTGTGCTGAAAACATAGCCTACAAATCTGCAAAATGTAAAATCAACCCCAAAAGAAAAAAGAAAATCAAAGTCATTTAAAAATATGTAAACATTGAGACTAACCTCCAAGGACTATGGAGCTTCCTTCTCTGAAGTTCTTGGAGATAGAATCGATTTTCTCTATGACAATATAGATTTTCTCTATGCTAAAACCAGAGGCTATGCCCCTTTGATAAATGAATAAAATTACTCAGTATTATACTGAGTCTATTCTATACCTTTAAAAAAGCCTGGAGTTATCACTTATATTAGCCAGTCACTTATTTCTGGGTTTCCAATCTTTTCCTACTACAGGATGCAATAAATATCCTCATATATATGATTTGCAAGTTAGCACACATGTCAGATAAATTTCCTGAAATGGAATTGCTAAGATCAAAAGCAATATCCACTTGAAATTTGTACAGTCATTGCAAATTATTTTCTATAGAAGTTGGACCAACTTACACTTACAGAAACAATGAATTAAAGTTGCCATTTGCCGTCACATCACCAACCCAGTGCCAGCCATCTTTAAAATACTGAGTGTGGGAAGATTAAACAAAACAAACAGCTCTCACCTGCCTTCTGGGGGCTTCTATTTCTACCATAAACTTAAAATGCGTAAATAATATGAATAAAAGTTTCCACTATGGTGAACAGATACACCTTTCCTATGGCTGTGCATTAAACCAAGGAAGCCTTGTATGGTTCTAACATGTTAAACCTTTTAAAATTCAATACTATAGGCAGCTTTTTTCTCCCTCCTTCCTGCTCCCACTTAAAAACAGACAAAAGACCCCCTTAGAACTCCGACAACCATAAAACTCAAACCAAGCATTACAATTAGGCTGCTAAGCACCAGGTGTCCTTGAGGTAAAGGACATGAAGGAGGTGCATTACTAATCTAATACTTTTCAGAACAAGTGACTGATTTTGGTTTTCAAACTTTAAAAAGATAATGTGATACTTAAAAACAAATTTTCTTTTTTTTTTTTAAATATATATATTTTTTTATTGATTTCAGAGAGGAAGAGAGAGGGAGAGAGAGATAGAAACATCAATGATGAGAGAGAATCATTGATCGGCTGCCTCCTGCACGCCCCCTACTGAGGGGATCAAGCCCACAACCCAGGCACGTGCCCTTGACCGGAATCGAACCCGAGATCCCTCAGTCCGCAGGCCCACGCTCTATCCACTGAGCCAAGCCGGCCAGGGCAAATTTTCTTTATTTGGAATTAGAACTCTTACCTTGTAGTTTATAAATCCTGCCATAGTCTTAATTTCCAGAATATTAGTTTCATGGGCTCTCAATTCATGTACAAGATTATAGGCGGTCCGATAATTCCTAAGAGAAACACGAGGGAAGTGATTAATTACGCTATAATTTAATTTTGAAAAGATTCCTAAGAATAAAATTATTAAAATAACAAAGAGAATGGAGAGTTAACATTTCTTAGCACTCAACAGCTCAACAACATATACATATTAAGCTCTGATTTTCTGAAAAGTGATATATGAATTAATAATGTGTGAGTCGTAGCCGATTTGGCTCAGTGAATAGAGCGTCTGCCTGCGGACCAAAGGGTCCCAGGTTCGATTCCGGTCAAGGGCATATGACCAGGTTGTGGGCTTGATCTCCAGTAGGGGACGTGCAGGAGGCAGCCAATCAATGATTCTCGCTCATCATTGATGTTTCTATCTCTTTGTCCCTCTCCCTTCCTCTCTGAAACCAATAAAATATATTTAATAATAATAATAATGTGTGAGAAGCTTCAATGACTTTTCATTGAGAACAGTACCATCACATATAATGAACAACATAAACTGATGAACAAAAACAGATCCAGAGACAAAGAAGCATTGATCAGACCGTCAAACCTCAGAGGGAAGGTAGGGGAAGCTGGTGGGAAGGGGAAGAGATCAACCAAAGGACTTGTATGCATGCATATAAGCCTAACCAATGGACACAGACACCAGGGGGGTGAGGGAATGAGTGAGGGGGTAGGGGGGCAATGGGGCAATAGGACACATGTACAATACCTTAATCAATAAAGAAAAAAAAAAGAACAGTACCATCACGTGCACCTTGCTCTGTCATTAACATCTGTCAATAACTGATAGAAAAAAAGTTGAAAAACTAAAAAGTAGAAAATTGTCCAGAATTACATTTAAAAATTAGTATTGTTGCCCAGCCAATGTGGCTCAATGGTTGAGCGTTGACCTATGAACCAGGAGGTCACAGTGATTCCTGATCAGGACACATGCCTGGGTTGTGGGGTCAATCCCCAGTAGGGGGCATGCAGGAAGTAGCCAATCAATGATTCTCTCTTATCATTGATGTTTCTATCTCTCTCCCTCTCCCTTCCTCTCTGAAATCAATATTTGTTTTTAAATTAGCATTGTTAAAAAATAAGTTATTTCTTAAAAGCATCACACAAACTTCTCAAACAAATAGAAACTGTTCTAGGAAAGGTGTTATCAGGACAGCACAGGTCAGTAGCTTTTAAACCCAAGTGTCTCTACAAGTTAAGTGGGTATCACTGGTCTCAGGAGCAGGCTGGAGAGGGGCAATGTTCCAGGGCGGCTGGCGCTGAGGGAGAGAGCGTGGGACAAAGGAGAGCCTGGCCGAAGGGGGCCGCCCCTGAACATGGACAGTCAGGAGGAAATCTCAGTCTTCTCCAGAGAAACTGCTCCTAACTGCACCAGGTGACACTTTTCTTCCCAGAAGTGCTTTTGGACAGAATTGGAATGGAAGGTTTTTAACTAATACCCTGGATTCAAAATACACTACAGTAAACTCAGCTCTAATTATCTGAATTTGTTGAGATTTAGAGAACAATTTGGTACTTAGCACCTCAATAATAACACACACAAAAGAGGTTTCTTCAATATTCCTCTGAATAATAGACATGTTTTTATTTATTTCTCTATTTTTCTCCCTGTACACTTAGCCTGTCCTCAATTTGAGAATATACTGCTGTTTTTATCCCTCTGTTACACTGTCACTGTCAAAGCTAGAAAGAGATCATGTTTTATTAAATTGTGGCAAAGGAATGAAAGGCTTAACCTCTGCCAACACATCCCCAACTACTCATCAAAGCTCTAAGCAGAGAACTGAATGAAAAATGATGCTATTGTCAGGCATTAAAAACTAAACAACAACTTTAATTAAAATAAAATCATGCCTTCGCCAGTGTGGTTCGACTGGAGTGCTGTCCTGTCTACCGAAAAGCCTGTGGGTTTGACTCCCAGTCAGGGCACAAACCCAGGTTGCAGGAGGCAACCAATCAATGCTTCTCCCTCTTCCTCTGCCTTCCTCTCTATAAAATCAATTAAAACACAAATAAATAAACAACATCATAGCTTAACTGAATAAATGCACTATACAACTCAAATTCATAGTCTGATTTAGATAATGTTTATATGTGTATTTAACTTTGGAAGAAAGCAGTCTTAACACAAGCATTTTACTGAATATACAAATAAGTAGAAAGTGGGAATATTTTAATATTGTTTCTTTAGTTCATGTCATTTAATGAAAGTAGACCAGAAAGCCTTATAACTCTATGAAATTTACTTACAATAATAGAATATTTTTTAAATCTAAAAATATTATATTCCACTCATATCTAGATAAACTAAATACTAAATGAATCTAAATTAACATAAACAGTTTAAAATTAGTTTGGTTGTGATTCAGAAGTTGCCATTAATATCGTATTAACATCAAGATAAGAAAAATTTAGTTTGACAACTGTTAGAAACTTACTTCAGCGCATTTTGTGTATCTTGTTTCAACTCACTGAAGAAAGCTATTTTAAACTGATGTCTAACAAATAAAAGCTGAAAAAAGAATAGAAAAAAACATCATTACACATATTCTCTTAAAAATATAAAATTTTTATTGAGACACAAAAGTATAAGAAAATATTCAAAATTAAAGTTCAAAAATTATTCCAACAAATTAGTTAAGAAGGCTATAAAAGTCTACATTTAAGCCCTAACCAACCGGTTTGGCTCAGTGGATAGAGCATCGGCATGCAGACTCAAGGGTCCCAGGTTCGATTCCAGCCAAGGGCATGTACCTTGGTTTCGGGCACATCCCCAGTGGGGAGTGTGCAGGAGGCAGCTGATCGATGTTTCTCTCTCATCAATGTTTCTAACTCTCTATCCCTCTCCCTTCCTCTCTGTAAAAAATCAATAAAATATTAAAAAAAAAAGTCTACATTTAAGAACATTAAGGGCAAAGGATACAAAAACTAATTAGCTCTTAAATGCTTTAAAAAGCCCTGGCCTGGTTAGAGCATCAGCCTGCAGACTGAAGGGTTACGGATTCGATTTTGGTAAAGGGCATGTACCTAGGTTGCAGGCTGGATCCCCAGCCCCAGTCAGGGCACATCTGGGAGGCAAACAATCAATGTCTCTCTCTCACATCGATGTTTCTCTCTGTCTCTCTCCCTCCGTCCCTCTCTCCCTTCCACTCTCCCTAAAAACCAATGGAAAAAATATCCTCGGGTAAGGATTAACAAAATAAATAAGTAAATAAATATATAAATGCTTTAAAAAAAACTTTAAAAGTACTGAAGCCCTTTAAAAACATCAAAGTATTAAAAACATTCACTATCTCACTCAAATTAATCTGCTCTAGAATCTTTTATTATTTCCTTCTTCAGGGAAAAACACGTACCTGGTGTGTTGTTTTATTCAAAAATTCTTTATGAGATTTCACTCTTCTGATTTCTGTGTAGTAATAGGTCTGTGCATGTTCATAAAAGGCGTTTTCTAGTCTATTAAAAAAAAGAAAGTTGCTTCTGTGAACTGGACAATAGTCACATAATTTGTGAGATAAGGCTATATCTGCAGGCTAAGATATGATGGGACTCGGACCCTTTTTAAACATTATTTAAATACTAAAGGCCCGGTGCATGAAAATTCATGCACTGGAAGGGGGGAGGGGAGTCCCTCAACCTGGCCTGCCCCCTCTCACAGTCCGGGAGCCCTCAGGGGTGGGAAGCGACCAGGCGATCAGGGGAAGGCGACGCCCCATCACACCTCTGCTGCTGCCACTGCCGGCAGCACAGGCCTCAGGCGGCCCAGGTTACCTGAGCCTCGGGCATCAGCTGGGCAGCCGCCACCCGAGGCTTGCCTACACCTTGGGCCAGCCCTGGGCGGCTGGGGGGCTGAGGGGACTGGGGGACTCGAGGCAGGCATGCGGCAAGGCCGGGCGCACAAGCATATTCCCTCTTTATTAGATAGGATATACATAAACATTGAAAATGAAGTAAAACACGGGCCAGAAATAGAGACACTGTCATATAAAAGGACAAGTATGTCAGAAAAGGCCAGATGGTAGTTACGGAGAAGTACAATTTAAAATATGAAAAAGTTTTTTAAATGAAGTTGACCTAGAGGTACATATGATGTCAATGAGGTGATGTTACATGGCAGTTCAGTATATGCTATAAGATTATATTTATTTTTCTAAAGAAAGACATTTTTAGGAAGGAAACTTAAGTCATTGCTAGTGGAATCACTTCTCAGCCTTTTGGTGAAGATCAAGTGTAGTAAGGTGTTGATAGTGGTTATCCCAGGGAACTGGAGAAAGTTAAAGAGTTGACTAAGGGGATTTTACTTTTTATCTCATATCCTCAATACCATTTGAATTTTTCCCCCATGAACATGCATTTTTTTTAAATAAATGGGTCTAAACCTCCAATTTCTCAATGCCTAATAAACAATCTAAAGAAAAATATTTCAAAGACCTTCATTTACCTTATAATATAACCCACAAGGTGGTCAGTGTGGGGCAGGACAAACAAAGATTTTCCTGAGAGTTCACACGCATTACATAAAGCTGCAGCCCTTTCTGAAGCCATAACATCCTCTCCTGTTGACACAGCCCACAAAGATAGAGAAAATAATTAATGCATTCTTCCCAATAAGCATTTCCCCAAACCTGAGCAATATAATCCTATATAATAAAAGCCTAATATGCCAAGTGTCTGGTCGTCCAGTCTGCCATTCAACCAATCAAAACGTAATATGCTAATGATATGCTAAGGCTGCTCAACCGCTCACTGTGTCGTGCACTGACCACCAGGGGGCAGTCACCCGGTCAATCAGTCGCTATGACGTGCACTGACCACCAGGGGGCAGATGCTCTGACCGGTAGGTTAGCTTGCTGCTGGGGTCCAGCCAATCGGTACTGAGCGAGATGGGCCGAAAACGCCCTGGAGCCCTCCTGTGGTCCCTCCCATGGTCCCTCCCCGGTTGGCCAATCTCCCGCGTCCCTTCCCAGCCCAAAGTGGGGTCCCTTGGCCTGCCCTGCACTCTCTCGCAATCCAGTGCATGAATTTCGTGCACCAGGCCTCTAGTTAAGAATAGAAACCCAAACCACTGCCACCATGCCAGTAGGATTCCTGGGGCCCTTGGGAGCACTGTGGGTTCTTAGAAGTGACACAGTACATTATCTATCAGGAAAACACTTACGGAATTTTCTCCTGAGCCAAGATATACTAAGTAATGCCAACACAGAGGCCACATTACTATTTCAAAAACCGTAACTAAAAATGGAAGCAATAATTCATGAACGTGGATTTAGGATGCTACAAGTTTCAACACTGAAACAAAAAATATTTTGGCCTCTCAGTAGGTCTGTGGCCGAACCAGGAATCAAACCTGCGACCTTTTCAGTGCATGGGACAATGCTCAAGCAACCGAGCCACTCTGGCTGGGCAAAACCTAGGCATTTTCTAATGAGAAATTAGAAATACTATCGCATTTTTCTTGGCCCTATTGCAAAGAAAAATAAAATATCACATGAGGAATATAGTTTTAAACAGATCTCAGAAAAGTAAGTAAACAACGTTGTTTAAAAATCAAGTGGTAACTGTTTTGTCAATTGCTATATGCCTACATCGAGAGATAAGTGACAGGGAGCAGGACTTAAGAAGATCTGCACTCTTGAATATTCTTAAATTTTTACAATAAGCACTATGCATGTGTTACTAGTACACTACCTTTCCCATAACCGAATGCATAAAAGATTTCGACATTAGCAATTATGCTTCTTGGTAATAAGAACTGGAGGCATAAGACAATTAATTCATTATTAACTTTTTGATACCTGGGGGCAACGGGGTTTTCTTCTGAATCAGAACCACTGCAACTTTTGTGTTTCTCCCTTGTAAACTCTGCCTGCAATGGAAAAATTATAACATTAAATAATTAAATTGTTTTTTAGAAATATACTAGTATTCAAGCCCAGATGGTGTCGCTCAGTGGTTGAGCATCAATCAGCCCATGAACCAGGAGGTCATGGTTCAATTACAGGTCAGGACACATTCCCAGGTTGGAGCTCCATCCCCACTAGGGGGCGTGCAGGAGGCAGCCGACCAATGTTTCTCTCTCATCATTGATGTTTCTATCCCTCTCTCCTGCTCTCCCTCTCTCTGAAATCAATAAAACATATTTTAAATACATATATGTATTCAAGACCTTACATAAAATACATTTGATAATTCAAAGAAACAAATTTCAACTAAAAAATCTACAAGATTAGAGGAAATCTTTCCATGCATACAAAGAAACATATGATTTCAACTTCAAAAATATAATCTCACATCAAGCTTTGGATCCTTACAAAAGTCTGTTTTGAAAGTAAAAGTTTAATATGTACTTTCGTGTAAAGGTTATAATACAATATCCTTATAGTGATACATTACAGAGTAGTCATTCAAAAGAATTATTTTGAAACTGAGCTGGTGATAGAGCAAAAGTATTATGAGGCTAACGAGCAAATTACTGTATCTTCAAAAAATAGAAATGCAAGAAAAAGCATTTGAAAATTCAGACCAATTTGTCTTCTAATTTCTTCATCCTGCTCAGCATTATTTAAGTTAATGTGAATGCTTCCTGTTTGGAACTGAACACGTTTCACTGGAGGTCAGCAATCCCCAAAGTGACCACTGCAGCCTGAACAGTGCCCAGTGGCCATCAACCTAACGGGCCGACCTGACGAGTGCGAAGACCAGACCTGACTATCTCCACTCTGGTGGCGCACTCGGACTGCTTTTCCTTCCACTGCGGCTCGTCCCAGTCCAGCTCGTAGAACACAACCACCAGGGCTGGCACCAGGTTCAGATGCTTGTTCATCCAGCCGGTCTTCAGGATCCCTTTCGGAATGTACCACTCGTAGGAAGTTCTCTGCAAATATTGGCAAAAGGTGAAGAGTTACTGGATGACAACAGCAGCGGAAACCGCCTGTTCTCGAGCCCCAGGCACTGTATGGGCATTTATCTCACTCAGTGTATACCCAAGCCATGGTTAATAAGATGAGGAAATTCCAGCTTACAGAGACCAAATAAGAGCCAGAAAGTCGTAGAGATGAGATCTCAACCCCAGCGCTGTGACAATTTTCATGTAAAGAATGAACAAAACCAAGTGTTTCTAATGATATTAAGGCTCTCAAATACCCTGGAAGCAAACAGCCCTTTTCCAGGTAAATCTGACTTATATTCCTCACCATTTCAAGTGTCTGTTCTTGTAAAAGTTGCTCAAATAAACTATTATCTGAAATCTAACATAGCTTCATTTGTTTCAAGACATGTTGCCAAGATGGCATTTCGCTTTACTTGTAAACTGTGAAGACCATGGATCCTACGACGATACTGGTAATGATGATCGGGGAATGTGAAACCTTCCCAAATAGAGAGGCCTTTATGGAGATTTGGGGGTTTTTAAAAACAAATGAAAAAAGGAAAAACTAGGCTCACTGTATAAAAAGCTTAATAGCTATAAAGTAATTATTCTGCTGGGTTTAAAAAAAAAATTATTAAACACACCTGCAGTGTATTAGACTTGACAAAGCCCAGGGTTTTCTCTACCCGTCACTGTAACCATCCCCTTAATAAACTCAGGGGTTTTCAAGCTCAGACAGTAGGAACAAAAAGGATATGTGCACATATAGAGACAGAGAGGGAGAAGGAAAGCCCCCATGCAATCAGTGCCGTTACCTTGGGTCTACATTTGGGATACTCGTGGTCCCCTGGGAGCACCTTGAAAGAAATTGGTACCCGATCAGCCCTCCGATTGGCACAGAAAGCATCCCAGACGGCTCGGTGGACAGCATTATACACCACATCCAGGCCGGTGAGAGCGACAAAGGCCATCGGCCGACAACATAACTCCACGGGGAAGTCCCACTGTGTGGGACCCATGCTCAAGGCGTTCTGAAAAACCTACAATACAAATGTTGATACATTCATTAACTCATTTTTTAAAAGCCCACATCCATTTCTAATATGTGAATCGCCACCATTTAGAAAACATTACAAAAAGGCAAAAGACTCTGAAGTGTCTGCAAATACAAAAGAAATCAAAAGTTTTTTAAAACTTTGATTCCTAAATTGACCTATTGACATTTGGTAACTATTGGTACTGTATTTTTAAAAAATCTTTCATATTACAAAGGTAGTCAACTTTAAAACTAATCAGTATTTTCAGTAACATCTCAAAATGCACACAGAACTTTGGAATGAGCAGAGCAAGAAAGCAGAACGCCATCAAATTAAAATAGGTCTCATGACCTACTTCAGCTATAAAGAAAAATAATTATTGACACAGATATACAAAAACTGTAATTATCTATAATTTCTCTGTAATTGCTAACATCTAATTTCTGAATTCCTGAGATATTATTAAAATGATATGCTAATTATCTAGTCAGTCCTCCATATCTCGGGTACCACATCAGCAGATTCAATCAACCCTACTGTGTAGCCTATATGCATGTTCTAGCAGTCACTCAAGAAAAGAGAAATAGGTGGAATTAATTTTAATGATATCCTATTTAACTGATATATCCAAAATACTTATCATTTCAACATTAATATAAAAGTTATTATCAAGATAGTTTCCTTTTTTGTACTGTTTTCAAAATCTGGTGTGTATTGTACACTCAAAGCACATCTCAATTTGGTCTAGTCTATTTCAAATGTTCAGTAGCCACATATGGCTACTATACTGGGCAGTGCAGCTCTAAATTATTGCAACTCTGTCCCAAATGATGAAAATTGTATCTGAAGTTCTTGCACATTCTATCCTAACAGCTTTGGCACTTGAAATGGGTCGTGCTTATCCTGCAGCAAAGGAATGGGAAGGCAAAGGGCAGGTACAGAGGCGTATGGACCTCGATGACAGCCTCGCCTAGAAGAAGCCAAGGGCGGGGACGGATGGACGGAGGCGCAGAAGTAGCAAGCGAACACCCTGGACGGGGACCACGTAGTGCAAGGGAATAATGTGGGAGCTGGCATGCACGATAATACGGAGGACTCTTGCAAAGAATGATGATGCAATGCAAAGGAAGGCGACCTGCTCAAAGTGGAAGGTAAATGCATGTGGTCACTATTTTTTAATTAACGGAGGTTCGGGGTGCAGGACAAGGCGAATGAGGATAAGATTCAAAGAAGTTCAACTACAAAACGACCAAAATAGGAACGGCAGTCTGAGGCTTGGATGATGGGGAGAGAAAAAAAAAAAAGCTGATGTTGAGTATGTGACCCAACAACTGACTTAAGAAAAGGGACCGCCCCAGGATCGCGTAAGTCAGGAAAGGCGGAGAAGCAACGCTGAGCCCTAAAAGCAGATCTCCCTTCCTGCCCAGCCCCCCTTAAACCTGGAGGCCCTAGAAACAGGTGCACAGGGGCTAAAGGAGAAATGCCAGCATTGCACCCGCTGACACCGCTGGAAAACGCAGGCCCTAACATCAGCCTTAGGAGCCAGCGCTCTCCCGCGGCGGTGTCGCCTGGCCCGCAGGTCTCCGGCCCGGACTCACCCAGGCCGCGTGCACGGGGCCCACTGCAGCTGTGGCCGGTCGCCTCCGGCCGGGGAGGACGAGGGGAAGCGGGCAGAGGTTCCTGAGACCGCCAGGCCCGTTCCTGCAGCCGCCGCCTCACAGCCGGTTCCAGCGAGCAGGACTTCCCTCCGCCCACCTGCGCATGCACAGGAAGCGCTTTCTGGGCCTGAGTGACAGCGCTCTCCACCAATCGCTACCCGGGAACTTTACGCCGCTCCACAAGACGTAGGGAAGACGCTCCATTTCCTACAGGTGCTGGAGCTGGACGGAGCGAGGCGGAGCCAATAGGAGAAGCTAGAAGAGAGAGGGGGCGGGGCCTCTGCCTCAAGGCTCGGCTGTCTCTCTCCACACACACCGGCGCCCCGCCTGCCACGGCCTCGGGCTCCGCGCCCTCAGCCCTTCCGCGGGCGGCTTCGCGCTGCCCGAAGGCCCGGGGTGCGCGTGACTGCGGTCTGCGGGGCGAAGGGCGTGCCTCCCGCGGCCGAGGGCGCGGAACCAGGACGCCCCGGCCTCGGGGCAGCCGCTCGCGTTTTCTCTTCGAGTGTCCCGAACCGCCGCTCCGCGCGGCCCGCCCTCCCGGGAGGCTCCCGGCGCCCGGGGGAGA